AACACTTTTATTCGCCTGACGTTTCGACATCCATCGTGGATTCTTCATCAGAAGCATGAGCAAAAAGTAGCGCCAGAAACAAATGTCGTTGGCGATCCAGTCAACGGCAATCCACTTAGGAAGGCAGTCTGGACGACATATTATGCATTTAAGCCAAAAAATACATAACTTCGAAACACGTGGGCGACTACCCAGACTCCATCAATGGCGGGGATGAGTATGGCTAATGATTATTTAAGTTCTGCATAATTTCAATATGCTGTCGGAATACCATTTGCCCACTTGATCTAGATTGGCTGCCACCGATTTATGCCCTACTGCTACGGTTGCCAAACCCTACGGTGAACAGAAAAAACCTGATTACGGAAAGACTTAACTTTAATTTATTTATTGCTTGCCAGTTTACGGGCAAGGTCAAAAGATAAGCGCAATAATTGACCGAGTTAAGAGTGAGAAAAACTCCTGATTTTCCCCTCTGGACTTTTCCGTAGAAAAAAAACTGCAGCTCATTTAATGACGCGACTTCGGGGCGGGGAAGGGTTGATACTTGAACACAGTGTTCTCAGTCACCCTTGAGTGTTATGGATCCGGTATTCTGCACAAGAGAAATGTTTGTCGGCGAACAGTTGCTTGCTGTCGGCTAAAGAATAGGCCGATTGTGGGTTCAAATTTAGCACCGTTGCCCTCAGCATGAAGCCGAGCACAGGATTAAGCGTCCACGGAAGCCATCAGAGTGAAAGAGAGATTGCACCGAGTCAGCACACAAACTTCGTGTGCTCCCATTCCTAGCACGCAACCTCACGTGTGAAGGAACGGAAATGCGGAAATTGAAAGCCAAACTGTCTCCGTAATAGATGTGGATATCGTGTAAACCTTTAAATTCGGAGTATTTTATGACCTTTTACCTTACCTTATCCCTTGCTCTCCGTGAATGGAGCCATTTTTGCTGAAATTTTTGGATGTTTTACCTTCAAAATAAAGCATATTTCTTTCTCTCTCTTAATACGATTTGAATACATTCCTTTTTATCTCTTTCGGTTAACAGCTGTTCAACAGGGTCGTCTTCCATCCTTCGGCTCACAATACTACCCAGGCTTCTTCGGCTTTGGTCTGGGAGGCCTTATGGGATCGGGCTCGTTGATGTCTTCCACACCCCTCCAACCGAATCCCACTCACACCCAGTTGATATCACAACTGCTGAGGGCGGAGCCGATCCTGCACAATGAGTTGTTTCGTGCCGACCTACACGACATCAAGGCTAGTCTAATCCAGTACATAACGAGCTTGGAGGCGAACTCTGCACACACCGAGCTGGCGGATCCTAAAGGCGCGGCGGAGGGAACGCGGATGGAGGAACGGTGTACGCGGTTTCTCATTAACCATGTCAACTGGGCTCGACAGACGCCCTTCTTTGCCAGTTTATGCGTGAGTCATCCGAAGTCGTTGTAGAATATGTAAATATATAGCGAGAAATATGCTTTATTTTGAACGTAGTATCCAAAATTTTAAGCAAAAAGGGCTTCAATCACGGAGAACAAGGGGTAAGGCAAGGTAAAAGGTAATCGAATACTCAAAGTTAAAGGTTTACACGATATCCCCATCTTTTATGGAGGCAGGTCGGCTTTCAGCTTCTGAATGTCCGTTTCTTCACACGTGAGGTAGCGT